GGGGAATTCTGGGAGTTGAAGTCCACCCGTCTTAAAGTTGCCAAGGTTGAGGAACCCTGGACTAAGGTGTTAGACTAAGACAGGAGAGACCCAGAGTCAAGTCACCCCCAGCCAGGGAAATTGACTGCATTACTCTGGGCCACCCACTTGTTCTGCCTCAATCATAGGACCATTGCTGTGGGGATAAATGAAGGGAGATCACCATTTAAGCTGACGTGAGCTCTTGGACAAATGGCAGAATAGAAACCTAACAAATAAACAATACAAGGTAGGGAAGAAGAGTTGGGTTGTTTTACCTCTGCAGCTGATGCCCACTTTGAAACAGCTCAGCTGGGACATGTCCTTATCCATGACTATTTCTACCAAATAGTAATTTATATGAACAATTCCCTCTAACATGTTTCCTGGGGTTGTCTTCATTATCTTTGGCACCAACCATAGTATAATCAAAGAGTAATTTAGGTTGAACCCAGCATAAAAGTGCTGTAATAGTATATTTCTGAATGATTTCTATTTTTTATATTTGCACCATCACAGGGAATAACGATGGCAAGTAAGAAGAAAGAAATTCAGCTACAGGTATCCTTCTTGCTTTGTTAGCTCAATTATTCAGCTGTTCTTTGGATAAGCAAGCATGTTGAGAAAACAATGTTCTCTATTTGTTTTTACTGTAGGCAGTAATACTCAGTCAAACACAATGGGATGAGATGCTGCTGAATAAAGGTCTAACAGGTAAGTTTTTCTCTGTCTCTGTGCTTCTTCCATGTTGCTTACGTGTACTTTAGGCACATGAGTGTTTCATTAGATGTGCCAGATGCAGGCCACTTGCAAGCATATGCATGTGATAAACTTGGAATTGAGCTTCCATTTTCTGCAGCTCAGAGATGCTCATGTGCACTTTGCAAATCCACTGTACACATAAAAAATGATAGCATAGAACAGGACAGGACATGAGCTGCTTTGACTATTAGGGCAAATGATGAGGGGCAGATGAGGAGAAGGGTCTTCATAGGCAGTTGCAGTGCTTGCTTTTTGCCTGGCCTGTTGTTAGTTAAATGCATCTCTGTGCTTAACAAACAAAGAGAAAATCCAGTTCCACTCTGTCTTACTCACCTGCTTCCTTCTCTCCAAGCTGTAGTTTAGGTAGAAGTGAGGACTTTCTTTATAAATCTAATTTTAATTCAAATAGAATGAACGTCTACCAGCATTCACTGATAACAGGGCTAAGCCCACACTCTCTGCATCCAGGACAACTACATTACAAGCATTTGATTTATTCATTTTAAATGGGACCTGCTGTGTGTGACTTAATGTCTCCTTATTCTTTCCACATTCTGCATATGCTCAGAAGGCCATCCTCCAAGAAAGGCTTCTACTGAATTCAAATCACCAAGCTCTTCCCTGCAGTCTCAGCCCTTTAGGTGCCAAAGGGAAATTTCTGTCCAACACAAAGAGGAACTTTGCCTGATTTAATTGTCAACAGAACCAGAACTAGGAAAGAAAGGGATAAGCAAAATTCCTGCCTGCTGAGATCCTATCATTATTAGAATCTCCTGGGGTTGGTTATTTTAATTTTTAAAAAGATTAAAAAGAAATATGTATTTAAGATCTAATTTGAGCCTTGACCCTCTTACATAGCAGCCAGTGCCTAATCTGGCTTGGACCAGATGGTGTTGGTCAGTTGCATAAGTCAGGATGCCAGGATCCTAGTGAGAACTTGATGGGGTTCTGTAAGAACCTAAGACAGTGTTTTTCAATCTTGGAAACTTTAAATGTGTGGACTTCAACTCCCAGAACTCCCCAGCCAACATGCTGGCTGGGGAATTCTGGGAGCTGGCCCACACATCTTAAAGTTGCCAAGGTTGAAAAATACTATTCTAGGGCAACCTCAATATATATCAAATCTGTTAATCTTTTTTCACTTCTTATTTTGGAGAAAAATCAGGTGATGCAGTTGTGGTGGGGAATTCTGGGAGTTGAAGTCTACTCATCTTAAAGTTGCGAAGGCTGAAAAACACTGACCTAAAGGCAAAAAAAAAAAAAATCAAATAAAAATAAAAATCAATTGAGCACAGCCAATTTTCTCTCACTAGAACTTTGCCTTTTGATCAGGAGTTCTGGATTTCTTTTCTTTTCTTTTCTTTTCTTTTCTTTTCTTTTC